TTTGAGATAGTGTGGATTTAGTGTGCGTTAAGGGCACTGCGCTTTGCCGTTTTTAAGACTTGGGACAGTCTTGTGCACTTACTTCCTGATGAGCACACGCGCTCTCAAGTGGCCAAGACCGCAAGTGTGGGTATTTGGACAAGGCAAATAAGTGTTCTTTTGTGTTAATGTTGCAAGCTGTTCTGTGAAAGAGCTGGTTGGTTAGGCTTGCTTCATATTGGCTGGCGCTAGGATCTGAACAGATTTATGACGTTGTCTTGTTATCCTGGGCCTCTTTGTGGAATTTGGCTCTTTGGGTTGTTCAACACCAATCTGATCAAATCTTAAATTGTCTGATTCACTCTGATACCCTACAGGGTGTATTACTTTTTATCTTACTTTTAAAGTCTTTTCCCCCCAGTGAAGCCCATTTATAATGTTAGTGGAGTTTTTTTTTCATCAAAATATTTTTTATATATAATTAAGTTATGTTTACTTAATACAGTGTATAAGACTTTGATTTCATGTTGAATTTAAAAGTTAAAAGTACATTAGTAAAGAAAAGCTAATTTCATTCCAAATGAATTTTAAAGGTCAAATAAATTCTAAAGGTCAGAGAGTGAATAGATAAAATAATGTTAGTAATGTTAATAATAATGTTAGTTTTTTTTTCCCCATCAGAACAGTCATAATCCAAAAACAAATACAAAATCCTTAACAAACACAATAACAAAAATGTAGATTGTGTGTGACCCCTTGTAAGCAATGACTAAAAATACTAAAAGTCAACAGTTCAATCATTATCACTTTTTAAGTTTGTCGCTAGTTTATCAAGTCCTTGTGAGTCCTGTAGACTTTACAGTGATGAATCATCTAGTGAAAATGGCATTGGAGTTCATTTTAGGGCACTCAGGACACCCTGAGGAGGGGCGTGTTGTATAACCTCTGCCATGGTCTGAATCTGTCTGGGCCCAAATGCTCCCTCACCCTTGGATGACAGCGGGTGTCTCCCCAGCATAGTCACTCAAAGAACAGGTCTAAGAGACAGTGACATGAACCACAATCTCTCAGGGTTGAGTGACCAGGCTTGTGGCGGCCACTGCCAGTCAGTGTTTGCCCAAGGGTGAGACTGGGTGAGGGTGCTGTGCCTGTCTGTGCCTTAATGACATAATATGTCTACTGAGGGCCACTGAAGCAGACAGGGACAGTCTGAAAACTCGAAAATCAAAAAAACTCGGAAAGCATGTGTGTGTTTAATAATGTCAGAACACTTTATTAGATTACTATTCTAAAATATCTAAAAGCTACATCAACTCTAAAGCTGTTATGTAGATATTTGCATCTGTTCTCTTTCAAACACATCTAAAATGTTTTTACTTTACAGATATACTTTACAGATATAATTAATAATGTGTACTTTATCATTTAATTCATAATTTTAAGAATGATTGTGATTTTGAGGTTGTATTATACCTTTTTTTTCTTTTCCCCCCACAGTGTTTTTCATCATAACAGATGTAATGATGATATTTATTTCATACAATAAATACCATTTTGACATTCCTGTTGAGATAATATCATACCTCATTTCTTAAAATTTAGTATATAAGACTTAAATTATCTAAATTATACTTAAAGAATTTAGTTTATAACCAGAAAAATAAAGAAAAATAAAGAATCTGTTGGTGCCTTGACGAGCATTGTCATTAAAATGTAATTTCAGTTATGTTTTATTTTATTTTATTTTATTTGACTGGTCATAAAACTACACACTGTATTATTTTAAAATGTAAAGAGAGAAAAAAAGTTACTATTACTAAACAATTTTGCCACCAATTAGTGAGTCCTGCAGAGTAACATTCTCATTGAGATCATATAATATGAAGTCCATGAAGTTTTTTTTTCAAAATGTAGTTTTTTATGACCATATTTCACTTCCAACTTTCCGAGCCATAAAAATACATTTATTTGTCCTGCTGTGCCTTTAAGACTTTGAAAATATTGTTGCTAAAATATACATTCAAGACGAGCTTTTTTTGGCAGCTTAGTTCCAATAAATGCCCTGAACTTTGGTGGAAATTTTGAGTTCTGCATGTTACAGTATGTTTTCATGTACAATGAACACAAAATATCTCAAAAGATTGAGATAAATTGGATTAATCATTATATGACCCATTTAACATATTCTGTGTGTTTGTGTATGTTTTATGGCACTTTTGATCACTCAAAGTTGAACCTACCTCATTTGTCATAACTTGAAGAATGTATGTAGAGTCAAGAACTTTAATGACTCATGTATCTCTGGAGACTAAACACAGACGCTCGCTCTGGCTCCACTGCAGCTCTCCTCTCTCTCCCCGAAGGGTCATCATCTGTGCTTTGTTCTCCATCAGCCCTTCTGCTGATATTATGTGCACCTCATTCAGGTTTGCAGTCTCTCGGTAGACTGATATATGTGTAAGGATGTGTGTTCAAGAGATTTCAGTAGCATTGACTACAGTTGTTCACTTTGACCTGCTTTCTGAACCAGCCCAGATCCTAATCCCTGTTCCCTCATAAATTAAATTAGAAAGCAGCTGAGGCCAGTTAAAAGCATGCTACTACAAAAGCTTGGTTGTGAGTGCACTGTTGAAGGCTTCTGTTCCACTGCAGTAACAGCTAAATGGATTGTGCATCAGATGATGTGTGAAACTTTCACTGTAAATTGACTACAGCAGTATATATCATATCAGATATCATTGCTTGACTCGGGTGTCTGATAGACTGCAGTACAGTTAGCCTTTATAGACTATACTTCATACAGACTGATTCATAAAAATTATTTTCCTTGACCTCTTAGGTCAGATGAGCTTCTTCTATCAAAAGGCCCAATTAAAAATGTATTTTTTTTTCCCACTATGCAAATAAATTCACTGTCCTTAAAGAAGAACGCCATTTCTCTTACACTGCCATTTAAATGTTTGGGATTAGTTAGTTAATGTTTTCTTCTTTGAATTTTATTCAAAATAGAAATCTTTTGTAACAATATACATATATACCATTCAAAAGGGGTCAGTACATTTGGGGTCAGTACATTTTTCTTTCTTTCTATTTTTGAAATAAATTAATACCTTTATTCTGCAAGGATGTTAAAAGGTGATAGTAAAAACTTATATTGTTACAAAAGACGTCTATTTTGAATAAATGCTGTTTTTAAATTTTTTATTCATCAAAGAATCCTGAAAAAGTGTCACAGGTTCCAAAAAAAAAAAAAAAAGCAGCACAACTGTGTCCATCACTGATGATAAATCAGCATATTAGAAGGATTTCTGAAAGATCATGTGACGTGAGTAATGGCTGATGAAAATTCAGCTTTGCATCACAGGAATATATTTTAATTTAAAGTACATAAGCGTAATAATATTTCACAATATTACTGTTTTTTCTGTCTTTTTGATCAAATAAATGCAGCCTTGATGAGCAGAAGAGACTTCTTTCAATAACATTAAAAATCTACTTATCACAAGCTTTTGAACGGCAATTCAAATTTAAATCATTTGCTGTAATTATCTATCTTTTATTTTGTTATTTTATTATTTTGTTTTATTTTATTTTATTGACTGGTCATACATTTACATATTATATTACATATTTACATAATTACTTATTATGTTTACATATTATATTTTCTTGATTTAAATTATGTATCTTTTTTATTTATTTGATTTAACCGGTCATGAATTAACTTTTTTATTATGTGATTTATTATGTTATATTGTTATATAAATGTGTGTGTGTATTGCTTAAAGTGATCTATTTTTATTTGTATTTATTTTATATTTATTATTTATTTATTATTTTTACTATTATTTTATTTGACTGGTCTTGATGTGCATACAGTATTAAGTTAAAATGTATGTATGTAATGTATGTAAGAATAGTTGCTATTATTACTATTTTGTCACCAATTAGTGAGTCCTGCAGAGTGACTCACAAAATCCACATTTAATAGGACGATCTCTTGGGGATTCTTGAAAATGTTGCTAATCAGGGCCCCAACAAGAAGTGAAGCTGACATTTGCAGGTGTTGGGACGAGGCTGAGTTTTACATGTTATAGTTAATTAAATTTGTAATGTTTATCTGGAATTACCTCCGTGTTCATCTATTCAGCCCTTCAGTGTGATGCTCCACTAAATGGAGAAACTTTCAGCATTAATTAGCATAAAATAAGTGAAAGCTTCTTATTTGTGTTGATGCAGCATATGGCGGTCTAACTGTTGGAAAGAGTGTCAACAATGAGTACAGCTGTAGTTTAACCCTTAAGGGGTGTTCATGCTGACAGTGATTAAATCACAACTTCTCTGCACTGTTGGTTCTCTCCACTGCCGATTGGTAGTCGCCTCATTGTGTTGCTGCACATTTGCATAAAATTGACCTCTACTCAACTTTGTTGCTTCGTCAGTGCTACACTTTTATCGACTGGGTATTGCTTGGTTGATTTTTGGCTGCAGGTGCTGTGAGCACATTGACAGTGGTGTCAGGTCCATCTTTGGTTGGAGTTATGGGTTGTCATCTAACTGACTTTGAATACTGATCTGTTTCACCAATGCACAGCTACCAGTTCTCTGTTTGTGCATGTGCATGTAAGTGTGTGTGCTTCCATCTTCATTAAAAGAGACACATATTTTTGTATTTTCTAGATTCAAATTTTAAACAAGAAGCTGGACTTCAGTCACGTACAGTCAAAGTGCGGATACAAGGATAATCTGAAGCATTTGCCCCATGGAGGCAATGTATGTACTGCTCCCTCTCTGTCTCTCTCTCCTTCTTTTCCAAAGCCAATAGACCTCCACGATTTTTGACCCTTTACTCTGTCCATTAGGATTAAATATGAACATTTTGCTTCCTTTCTGGATCTGAGGGTCCTAGACTTCCAACTTAGAAATGTTCCGGACTCATTTCAAAGCTACAGATAGGACAAAATGCCTGCCGTGGCAGAATCAAACATCATATAGATGCGATCTTCAATAAACACACACATCAGATATAATATGAAAAACCTGTATAAGGGATAATATACAAAACTGAAGTCCCTTCTTGTTGTTCATCTTGTGAAAATATATACAGTCCATATGTATATATTTGTAGACTGTAATGCAGGTGTTTGATGTTGACCTATCAACACTTGTGTGTCAACTGTATGGAAGTCATATCAAAACAAGACAACACGTCATCAGCCCTTCTTTTCAATATTTCCAGTTTCTCTGAGAAAAAAAGTGTTTATTTTTATAAACTTACAGTTTTGCTCAACAGACTGTACCATGGAGTAGTTGCAGCAACCTTCATGGCTTCTCATTCTTGTTTTCGTTAGGTTTCAAGTTCTCCTGTATTATACTTATTTTTTTTTTTTCCAAAACCTAGTGAGATGCCTTGCTGTCTGCTGCCCACATAGGCAGCATCCTAACTGAGATGGAACCTAATAACTGTATGTCTATTATGTACACTGCAGTTTAACAGCTCGGGATCTCCAAGTTTATTACCCTTAATGTTTTGAAAGGAGTCTCTTATGCTCACTAAAATGCTGCATTTATTTAATAAAAAAAATGCAGTAAAAACAGTAAACTTATGAAATGTTATTGCAATTTAAAAGAACTGTTCTCTATTTGAATATATTTTAAAGTGTAATTTATTCCTTTAATGTAAAATCTGAATTTTTTAACAGCGACTACTCCAGTCTTCAGTCACAACATTTAATTTTTATTTAGATTTGAATGTTTTAGTAGTAATTTTCAACATATATGTTAATAATTGACATTTCTCTTACTTTGTCTGCTATCCTGTTTTTTATTTTTATTTTATTTTTTTTACTAAGTATGTTGCAGTGAATTTATGGGATTGCTTTTGCTGCAAAGGATACAATGCTGACTCACAATTTGTCCAAGGCAGCAGTATAATTATGCCTAAAAAATCCCAAAGGGCTATGCTGCTACATAGTCAGCTCACTAGGTTTTGCGTGTCGTAGTCTCTCTGTTGTTTCTGATTGTGCATATTGCCAACAGAAATGTCTTGACCGGTGTTTTCTAAATGTCAGAGCTGGTATGTGCTGAGTCATGTCTGCACTTCAATCAGATTTGCTTTTTCTTCCCCTCGCAGCAGCAGTCAGTCACTGTGTGTGACTATTACAACAAAGCTATAATGACCACAAGGTGTAGAGCATGGCGCTAGCAACGCCAAGGTCATGAGTTTGGTTTCCAGAAAACATTACTTACGCTGTCTATTTAGTTTAGGTTAAGTATTTGCTGAGGGCTAGATCACTTTTGTGACAGAAATGAAAGACTCCTATCAACATTCATCAAGCTCCTCAGTAAGAACAGTTATTTATTATTCTGAAATAACTGAAGTTTGACTTCGTTTTTGTCCAAATGCACCAGAATCTGAATCAGAACCCACTGCAATGTTAACTTCGCCATGAATTTCTAAACAGCTGAATGTCTGTCATTTGATTCAGTGATCTGATGCTGGATTTGTGATATTCATTGCACTTATTGGTTTTCTTAATGTTGTGGCATCTTCAGCATATGGATCAGTTCTGCTTGATTTGCAGCTCAGTTAACCATTTTTATGCATTTAGCAGCGTAGTTCTCTGTGCCTTGTAACTGTTTAACTAATCAGTTATTGCTCAGTACACACACACACACACACACACATATATATATATATATATTATATATATTACATTGCAGCATCATATGGGAAGAAGATATCCAGTTTTTGTTTTATGTTTTGTTCTCAACCTCTGGTGTTTCTCACAGGTTCAAATTCAGACTAAGAAGATTGATCTTAGTCATGTGACTTCCAAGTGTGGATCATTGGACAACATCCGCCACAGGCCAGGTGAGCATACTAATGAGTTCTGGAAATATTGACCACTGACCGGAAATTTGCAGTGTCATGCAGATTGCTTTTAAAGCATGGAACGCCTGAGCTAGACTATTGGATGATACAACAGTGCCATCTTGTGGTTTTTAAGTTGTTAATGTCATCCTTTGCCAAACCCATTTCAAGTGATTCAGCCATTACAGATTATCCTTTATGCAAAATTTACAAAATGTGAAATTTTCTGAAGTAAGAATCTTGCAAGACCTTTCCAGTGATGAACATTGGACAGTGATTAAAAAGCATCATGATATAAATATCTTTTTTTTTTTTCTTTTTTTTTTTTGCCATTGTATTTTAAATAACATAGATTTTATATAGGTCTACTTTAATATTTGATAAAGATTTTGGAGAATATACATACACTGCTGTTCAGAGCTTTGGAGTCATTAATGTTTTTTTTATAAGTAATGAAGGATGCATTCAATTTATTACAGCATTACATTTATGCCTTTTACATTTATAAAAGTGATTAAACATGTATTTCTATGTTAAATAAATGCTGTTATTTGGAACTTTCTATTCATCAAAGAATTCTGAAATAAATGTATAATGTTTTCCACACGAAATATAAAGCAGCACATCTGTTTTCAACATTGATAATAATAAGAAATGTTTCTTGAGTACCAAATCAGCACATTAGAATGATTTCTGAAGACTGGAGTAATGGCTGCCTGCTAACAATTAAGCTTCGCTGTCACAGGAATAAATTGCATTTTAAAATATAATAAGATAGAAAACAGTTCCTTTAAATTGTAATAATATTTCACAATTTTACTGTTTTTACTGTATTTTTATCAAATAAATGTAGCCTTGGTGATCATAAAACACTTCTTTCAAAAGCATTAAAAAAGTTTTAAAACTGTAGTGTAGATCTTTAAATTCGTAAAAAGTTCAGTTATTTTTTTTTTTTTTTGAGATTGTACCAGCAGAAAAAATGAGAAATTGATTAATTGTTTAATGACTCTGTCTGTGTCTCAGGTGGTGGTAATGTGCGCATTGAGAGTGTGAAGCTAGGCTTCAGAGAAAAAGCCCATTCGAAGGTCGGCTCCCTGGAAAATGCCCACCATATACCTGGAGGAGGACATGTACAGGTGAGTGCACAAAAGCAGATGTTCGTACTTACCCATCCCACATCATACATGAAGACCGTCTCCAACTTCCTGTTTCCTGCTTCCTAAGATCGAAAGCCATAAGATGATATACCGTGACACGGCTAAAGCACGCGTGGATCACGGAGCAGAGATTGTGATCGAGGCGCTCAGGCTGTCGGGCGGCACCTCCCCTCACCGGCACAGCCACATGTCCTCGTCTGGAAGCCTCAACATGCTCGAGTCGCCACAGCTGGCCACGCTGGCTGAGGATGTGACCGCCGCCCTGGCCAAACAAGGCTTGTGAATCCCCCCGAAACGTCTCCGTTCGACTTTCCCCTCCGCTCAGTCTCCAGTAGTCCCCATCAGTGGTGTCACAGTTCACCTTTCCTCCCTCTGGTATTTATGGAAGACTACAGATTCACTTCCCATATTCACACTTCCCTCTTCATCAACCAACAATCTTGCAGAGCCCTGTTGTGACTATCTGAATTGGAAAAAAAATTATTTTTTTGTTGTTGTTCATTTTAATGAATAATGACTTAGCTAGAGAGGTACCAGTGCTTTTTATTACCCATGTTACATGTGACATTTTATGGTTGTGTACAGACAGTGACCTCAAATGCTGGTTTAGGGTCAGCGTCAGGTGTGTTGCCTAAAAGTCGGTCGATCAGAATTTTTTATATTCGGGAATGTGGCGCGACGATCTCATGCTGAACGTGTTGTTTTGCCCATTCAGTGCATGGACTCTAAAACATCTCAACTGCGAGTCACGTACGATCAAACACGATATACACTATAAGGGAATATATTTATAAATATGCCAGCTCTTTGTCTCAACATCTCATGCTCAATCAAAAAAAAAAGATTACTCCTTAGATAACTTGTACCTGTACAATTGCATTAAAAAAAAACCTAGATAGTATGACGAGCATGTATTCTAGTACACAAAAAGAGGCTATTTTCTATCTCAAGGGATTTTAGTAAGTTATTTGCTGAAACATTGAATAAAAAGAACACATCATGTTTTGTAGATACTAGCGACGATGTTTAGCTTGTACATTATTTCGGATGACCGCCCACACCCCTGCCTTCGCAGTAACCGTTGCTTCCGTGGATCTTTGTCGGTACACAGTTTAAGCAGATTTGTGCGGCGACTTACACAAAACAATGATATTACAGTTACGCAAAGACATTCAAGGGCTCCAGGTATACATGAATCATGTAAGATCTGCTCGGATTTGCTCAGTCTTGAAATGTGAACCGTACCGCCATTTTTCAGAGTCGAGATGGGACGGATCTGTCTGAGCAAGATGAGTGGTGCTGCGGCCCTCCTTGGGACTCTGTCGGTGTGTTAGGCCCTGTGTTTGGTTGCTGATTCCTGCTTGGATGCTTAGTTTTATTTCTTAGGAAGTGGAAAAAGAAACACACAAAACGAAACTTTAAGAAGGTTACTCACTCCGCTTGCATCTGTTTGAACACAGTACTCCAGTATATTTTTTCTCGTCTTTTGTGGTTCTCCCCTGCCCCTTTTCCTCTAGAACAGCTGTCATTCGTAGGCTTCTGTGTTTTCTCGGCCCCTCTGAGCCTTACCCACCCTTTCCCTGATTCCTTCAGCTGCTGTAAATGTATTTAAAAGGTCACATAGATGTACGCAGTTTTTCTCCTGTTGGTATGATACGGATTATAAATGCCCTTAACAGTTATGACAATAAAAATACAGAAAATGAACAAAACATTAGTGTGATCTATGTTTTTTTTTTGTGCTTGTGAAATGTGTAATGACCTATAGTTATGGTATTATTGCCTCCTTACAGGTTTAAAAAAAAAAAGCAATAACAGTTACAGTATAAGCTGTGCATTATAGTGATTTTAGAAAAGGTAAGTGGAAATCTATTGTGTGAATTAAAGTGTCCAGGACAAAAAAATGGCTCCTTAGCCATGCTTTAAAAAAACTGATGAAATTGTTCATCAGTCTCACTGTAAATTTAATTGCCATTTTACAACATTTCATCATTAATAATTTGTTAATTTGTTGCAGGCCTCATGTTGTGAACATGTTGTGTTTAATAGATTTCTGTTGAAAGATTATGACTTTTTCTTAGTTTGTCTGGTGAAATTACAGTCAATTTTAGCATCAGGATATGGCGAATATATTATATTGACAGAAAAACACAGAATTGTTGACATTTTTGCAGATTTATTAAAAAAGAAAAACTGAAATATCACATGGTTAATTTTACAGAGCAACAGTAAGATTACATTACTAATATTTATGCCTGTCTTAATACCTTTGCTTTTATCAATGTTAAACCATGCATTGAGCTTTTATTTTGACGAAAAAGGGTAACCTTCAACCTTCTTTTTTGTTGAGAACAGATTTATAAACGGATGATGGTTGGCTTGTATTGCATTTTAAATTAAGGTCACAAGGCCAAAATGTGACAGGTTTGCATCCTTGAGTTTCTTAGCAGCTGACCCAGTTAATTTTCTTGATACACATTTCTGGTCTTATTTTAAACAACTTTTCTTTACTTTTTCCTTATTTTCTGCCAAGACCCATCCTATATTTTTTTTCTTGTTGAATATCCTCTTTCACTACAATAGATTATGGAAGTAAAATGGGTAGTGAATACTGTTTCATGTCGGCTTTAAATCCCCAGCGCCACAAAGTCAACTACTGCTAAGCTATTTAAATGATCAATCTTGTTTACCTACCTGTTCCACTTGCCTTACTGCCTTGTGTGCTGAGTATGAGAACATTAATCACAACAAGGCAGATACTTTGTGAAAAGTTTATTATGAGAATTGACAGAGGCAACAAATAAATTAAGACTCTGGGGAAAGGGAAGGAGGTTTTGCAGTCAGTCTATTAATGGCAGTATATTTAGCACCTTTGACTTTGTGATCCAGACAGTGAGGGGTCAAGGGGGGTGGTTTATATTTTTGTGTAACTACGATGTCCCCCCCACACCCCTCACAACCGTTCCACTACGGAGAGGCTTGTCCCGGCATGAACAACACCAAGAAAATTAGCTGGGAAAAATATCAATGGCTTCCAAGAACAGACAAAAGAAATAGGAAAAAAAAATAGTAAACACAAATAACAAAATAACTGTTTATGACTAACATCTGTGTCCCTTTCATCCATTTCTGAGTTGGTTTTGGAAATATTGTGTGGATGTCCTGACATCATGGAATCTGGAGAAACGCTTCAGTTTCCTCAAAACTCAGACTTCTTACACAGACATGATGTGTTTGACGAAAGCTGTTCAGAATGGAGAGATTGAAAAAAAGTCAAAGTGGGATTAGAATTACAGGACAACAAATAAACATTATGTCTATAAATCAGTCTGCCATTAAAACATTTTACTGTAATAAATGTTCAGTGAGACAAAGAAAGGATCATAACTGACCCTCATAGTTCACACAGCCATTTTCATCCTCCTGGCCTTGCATGAGAGCATCGATCTCAGTTTCATTCATTTTCTCACCTGTAGGAGAAGAGAGGAAAATGGGTTGTTCAGGTCATTAAATAGATGGAAAACTGATGCTTGTCATAAAAATGCATTTAAACACAGATATAGGTTATGTGAGAGGATCTATGATTTAGTTTTAAGTATCAATGAGCTGTTTGTGGGGAAACAAAATTATAAACAAAAATTAAATTGAATTTTCACAAGTTTTTACTGTGATCATTTTGAATAAACAAAGTCTTTACTTTCAAATTTCATAATAAAATAATTTCTAGCATGAAAAAAATTATGTTGAAAGATACTGTACAAATTGTGAATACATTTTAAATAAATTTGAATAAAACTCCTAATCCTGTCCAAAAAATGTCTGAAAATTGTTTGAAATCTATAGAGGTAATTTTCCCAAAATGTTTTATGACAGCCACCGTTTAAAGCTATTATAGCTTGACAACAGACTTGATTAGAAGCATAATATTAATGGTTCTCAACTACACTGAAAAAAATGGTAGCATCTAAATTAACTGGTTTATTCAATTCAAAAACACTTTTGGCCCCTTACCCAGTGTTGACAAGACGATACGCAACTCAGCACCCATTACAGTTCCGTTGCCCTCCTTATCAAATACACGCAGACCCTCAACATAGTCGTCGTATGTTGCCTTGTTTGGGCTGTTGACCACAAACTGCAGCATGGGCAGGAAACCCTCAAAGTCGACTCTCTTGTTTGCCATTTCTGTAAACGAGGTCAAAAGTTAATGGAGGGGTCGTAGAGGGCAGATGTAGTGAAACAATGCACTACAAACACCTGTCACCACATCAACCTTCTACCAATTAAAGTTAAAGAAACGCATCTGAAATATGTCATGGTGAAAGCGTCTGAGAGTGCTGATGTTGACTAAAGGTACTTTTGGAAAAGCTAATTAAAAGTTTAAAGAAAAGGAAAAACAAATCCGCTTACCATCAGCTGTAGGGTTGCCCAGGATCTTTGTAACCTCTTTGTTGGTTGGGTTCTGTCCCAGTGCACGCATGATATCTGCAATCTGGTTGTAGGCTACTTTGCTGTCACCAACTCTGTCGAAAAGTCCGAAGGCCTCCCTGTAATCTGGAATTGTGAAGAGAGTATTTTAGTTAAAGGTGAAGTGTGTCATTTCCAGTGTTGGGCAGTAACTAGTTACTAGTAACTAGTTACTGTAATAATATTACTCTTTGCAGTAACTAGTAGTGTAACTAATTACTAATAGGATTTCAGTAATAATATTACTGTTACCATCCATAAAAAAGCTAGTTACTTAGTTACTTTTGATGCCTCAACCCCTACTGATTTGAAATCCAACAATCCAATAATTCCTAGATTTATTTTCAAATTTTCACGACTCACACTGGCACATGAAGTCACCAGTGCATCAGGAAAGCTTGGAGTATGAAAAAGGTTTAACATGGCATTTAACTGGCATTACATGGCTTGCCCACCCACATCCCTCTGATCCCCATATAAATTATATTACTATAATTAAAAATCTTATGAACTTATGTGATTTCTTTTGATAAAATACTTAATGAAATATAATCATATTTGGGTAACAGAGAAATTATAGCTACAATTAGCTTCAAGCTACACATGACAATTAATACAACACTTTTTCTTAAAAGTCACCATCAATCACCATTGAGTGTTTGTAAAAACTTTGGACTGCGATCCAATGTAGATTTTGGTCAAATGATGAGGTAGAAATATATTATTAGTAACATTTTAGAATAATTTTATGGGGAAGATACACAATTGCAACTTCTGTGGGGTGTGAAGGAAAAGTAATGTAACTAGTAGTGTAACTAATTACTGTAGTAATAAGTAAAGTAATAATATTACTTTTGAAAAGAGTAACGAGTAATAAATTACATTTTTGGAGTAACTAGCCCAACACTGGTCATTTCTCTGCACACTAGTTTCAAACATGTTTCATGAACACATCCCTGTCTGCTATTGGTTGATCAAACCGATAATCCCGCCCACAACTCACACCACTGGTTGATGCAGTTATACTGTATCAAAGACTATAGAATACCTTAAAGGGACTTTGACTGTATTACATTGTGCTATCCACCTAATATTTAATGTAAGAGTGGATGCTTCCAGTGTCAGCCGCTTCCAGTTATTTTAGTTGGACAAAAACAGTCCGTTAGGATATAAACTGCTCTTAGTTATTATATTATTATTTTTTGTCCGTTTGCTGCACTTTTTTTTTTTTCTCTAGTTGTTTGCCTAACCCTATAGTGGTAATGAATCTGAAGTTTCGCACATTCACATGAAACAGCTTACTTCTCTGCACAGTTTTACGCATTTTAGGGATCAGTTTTATTGTAGTACAATTGAGATCATATAGTTTTTGTTAATATTATGAATTCGATTTTATTTTCATATTTTCTACTTTTTAACTTTAGATAAAGTTTTTGTAATTTTGATGTTTTTTTCATTTGTATTAGTTTTTGTTGTTTTTAAATGTCTATTTTTATTCATTTTTATTTCAGGTTTAATTTTTGCTTTTAATGAGGCAATTTTAATGTATAATTATATTCATATAATTATATCATTGATATTCAGATTAACTGAAAGATCATGTAAGTTTTGCCTATAGCAAAACCCATTAACTTGGAAGTGAGAAAATTTGCTTTTTTTAATTGATTTGATGTCAGTTTTCACTCTCTAGATTTATCTAGATCTATTAATCTAAATATTAAGATAAAGTTGTCTAAAGTCAGATTATCTCAGTTTTGCTTATAACCATTTTTTTTAAAAATGTATAGTTATTGTGTTTTGCATTTGTAGACCATATATTTTATTTGGATCTCTCAAACTAAGATGCGTTTGCAAAATACAAGGTTCCCTTGTTAATCACTACCTATCAATCTTATTAAATTCTGCTAATCAGTCCTCACTATTTCTATGGACGTCATGGCAATGAGTCTAGTGGTTCACTGGAAGATGATCTGCTAAAAGATTAATAGCTTCATCTGATTTCCGCACAAAGCCAGCTGCCACCAACGATGTTGACAGGGGTGGGGGGAGACATTCAAAGAGTCATCTTGGAATTGATATGCTCTCCCAAGAATATAACTCCCTCCATATAAAGGCAGTACCATGTGAGGCTAAAATGCTGACTGCAGTGTAACTCACACCCAGGCTGCTGAAAGCTCCCCCTCACTGAGCAACGACCACATTCTTCCACATAAGATGCAGGCCTGGACAATGGTGCAAATTAACT